TTAAAAATTAATATAACTTAATTTTACATCATTCTCTATTTACATTGAAGTATTCATCTAAAGAGTAGAAGGAATGAGCATGTAGATAATTCTTTAACTCTGATTTAAACTTTTTAGTATCATTGCCCAAGTTTTTAATACTTTGTGGCAGATTGTTGAACACTTTTATGCCAGTAAAGTAGACTCCTTTTTGATATACTGATAAAGTTGATGAGGGTAGGTGGAAGTTATATTTTTGTCTAGTATTCATGTTATAGACATCAGAATTTAATTTGAATTTATCTTTGTTGTAAACAACAAATAGGAGAAGCGATAATATGTATTGCGATTGAAGCGGTAGAATTTTTAATTTCTTAAATAATTCTCTACATGAATCTCTACTTCTACATCCTGTAATGATTCTTATGCGCATGAGCATAGAGCTTATTTGTTCTGAGACAGGGGATGCTCTGTCTTGTGACTTTATATTAGGTATACATAGATTGTGCTTGAATTTATTTGTCAGGGTGTTCAGAAGAACACTTGACCTCAGAGAGAAAGTAACAGGCGAAGGGACGAAATGGCACAATGGGGAGCTTCATGATTTTTACTCATTGAATATTCTTACAGTAATCAAGTCAAGGAGGATGAGATGGACAAGGCATGTAGGATGCATGGGAGAAGAGAGAAATGTATACAAATTTTGTTAGGAAAACTTGAAGTTAATCTGAACATTCCAGATGGCAGTCCTCATCATAGAAATTTGATTAGTGATTGCGATTGCTTGCAGGTATCGCTGGTGAAATTCGGGCTTCAAAAACTCAAAACGCAAGCACAGACCGTGAGAGTGCCAAACCCCCGCTTCCCAAAGTTCATACATCCAAGAAATTAACAAAGTCTGAGGCACCAAGCAAGAAGACTTCAGACAAAGTGTTGAAGTCAGCAAAGGTAACATAGGCTATTATTGGTATACTGCTGGGAACAAGGCTACAGTGCGTCATCACCAGTTATTGATGTAGACTCTTATGTCATTGGTAGAAAAGTACTGGAGCCTCTTTTCAGCGTACTTCTGGTATTCATATGTCAGTGGGAAATTCAGACGTACTTGCACAGGGCTTTTCTTTATAAGGTTGCATACACAAAGTGTGACATGTCCTGATTTGTAGAGTAGGTAGCCATTATTTGTAAAACTTAAATAGCAATTGTCATTTCCTCATGAGTGGAGAGATGTTCTGTTGCTTAATCAGCAGCTTAATATAATTTGTGTCATTGCCTGGATTTATTTTTATGTTTTCTTTGTTCCTTGTGTACTCAAACAGATGAAGCTACTCTAAATTTGCAGTGCTATTTCCCCCCCCCCCATAAATGTTGCATATTTTATGTACTAGATGGCTGTACCTCAGATTAAGGAATTTAAATTTTTTTTGTAATAAAGAAAATTGGGAAATTGGATGGGTGTCATGTCAAAAACTCTGTTTCAGTACTTACATATTGCTTTAACAGCTGTGTCTGGCATACGAACTGGCAAGAGAGTGGAGTAAATTTCATAATGTCACTCAACATTCTCTGTTAGATCTGTGGTAGGCTGCGCCATAGCTCAAGTGGTTAGTCACTGGCTTCCCACCGCAGCGGCCCGGGTTCGATCCCAGGGTCTGGTCAAGTGGGATTTGTGGTGGACAAAGTGGCGCTGGGGCAGGTTTTCTCCGAGTACTTCGGTTTCCCCTGCCAATCTTCATTCCACCAGTTGCTCCACAATCACCCTCACCTATCATCTGGGGCTGGTACAATAGGCCAGAAGTGGCCGCAGTACAAGGGACTTAGTCCCACCCCACTAACAATAATAATAATAATAAATAATAATAGGTCTGTGGTACCAAACAGGAAACTGGCAAAATAGTTATTGTATTGTAAGGTCATGTTGCATTTCCAATTGTACATGTTTTTAGGAGCACAAACTTTAGTATGTGTCCATTATATGTTAATTATTTACTATACATCTTGTCCTACAGCTATTGTTAGTTGTGCACATTCACTGTTGGCTGCACTGCTCAGCCCGTAAATTGGCCAGTGTTTACACTGGACATATATGGTAGTGTCACTTTGATCATAAAATATACGCACCGTAAACACTGGCCAATGTGGGGGATGAGCAGTACAGCCAACAGAGGTTCCTGTGTGATCATAGCCAAAACATATCTGTCTATCTTTATTCCTGTTGCTCCCACTTGGAGCAGGGCATCAGTGAAATGCTTTGTTTCACTTCAGTTTCTCAATCTATACACAGTCAGTAGGACTCCTTGGACAAGTGATAAGCTTACCACAAGGCCACTACCTATATGCAAACACAGAATGAACACAGACAAATATCCATGCCTTGAGTGGGATTTTTTGTAAAAATCTTAAGCCAATCTAATTGAGAGGCTGCCTGAGTGAAGGGTAAACAATTCTCTAAGATTTTTTGTTTTTTTTTTAACAGTTTTGGGGATTCAGATTGTGATCACAGTTTTTAAAAACATAAACATTGTTTTTGTTCTTTTGATTTTGTAATAGGCTTCTGCTCGATTAACTCCAAAAGCAACCCCACTGCAGTCTCCTGGTTCAGATGCACCCTCATCTTTATCTCAGGATCAAGCTGAAGAGCAAAATGAAATAGTTGAGAAGGCAGAAGATGTTCATGGAGGGAAAACCCCAGATCAGCTCGAGCAGGTGCCCACCACAGCGGAACAGACAGATGTAGAAATGAAACCCTCTTTGGAAGAGGTTTGTTCTGTTGCAGTGGAATCAAAACCAGTAGCCGAGGAGAAGGAAGTCCATGAAGAAGTAAGCGAGAAAGAAATTCAACCTGCTGCACCTTGTGTGGTTCAGGAGGACAGCATAGAGAAATTTGAAACAGTAGAGCATGCTGAACACATAGAAACTGAAGCTGACATGACAGGTAGTGTATCCATTTCATTTGTCATCAGTGTCTGCTGCTTCTATATTCTCATTGGTTTTACTGTCATGCAATATCAGTTTACATTAAGGTGTATTCTGTGTGCTGGGCCTTTGGTGTCTGTTAGGAGAAGTGAGTATATAGAACTTACATGGTGTAATTCATATCTGGTGTTCCTGTATTTAATGAATATTTTTCTGGTCCCAGTTGAAGCGCAGTACAAAAAAGTGTATTATTTTTCTGTGTTTAACAGGTTGTGATTTAATGTAAATAATTTTTTACCTTCCAGAACTTGTACCCCAGTTTATTGTAATTGTCAAAATAACAGTCAGTATTCACATTTACTGTACTTTACAAATAATTAACTGCACAACTATAATGCTTGGTGAATGACATCACATATAGAACATGTACTGGAACTACTCCACTTGCTGCAACATATTTCCATTGACCATATTTTGTCTGTGTTTATTTCATATGTGCACATCTAAGCTGGCACACAAACTGTCCTGATCAAGAGTTTTCATGCCTTTCTTCTGTCCCTTCAGGTAAATGCCAAGGGGACTTCTGTCTGAATCATTCTCAGTTCATTATCACTCCTCTTCTGCCATTCAACACTGTCTACTGCTGACAGAGCCATTAAGTGGACTGTAAATGTATAGGCTTGGGATGTTCGTCATATAATTTTTTTATGTCGTTTCAGCATCAATGATAGCAAAAACTCGAATTACAACAGAAGAAGAAGCCAAAGCTGCGCTGGCAGAACGCAGAAGGCTAGCTCGGGAGCAAGCAGAAAAGGAAGCAGAGCTCGAGAAACAGAGATTGGTAAGGACATACTAACTTTCCTTGCTCCAAAGTGAGAGCTGAATTGTTGCTTAGTGGGATCTCCCCTAACTGAAACGGCACTCAGTCTCTTTCACGGTTATCAGAATTAATTTTTATTTTTCATTGTACCTTTATATACACACACAAACTTACAGGTTAACTCTGTTGCTAAAACAGAAACATTTTTTGTCTCCTCATATAAATCCATTTTGTGCAAACACTTTTTTGTGATCTAAGGGATATTTTCCAGCACTTGGCAATATTTTGAGTATGGGCAAGTATAATTTAAAACCAGTAAGTAGAAGTATGTAATGTATTTAGGTGTCTTATAGCATAATTAGAGTTGGTCACGGTAGCCGAGCGGTCTAAGGCATGCACTGTCTTCGCTCGCTCAGAAGCCAGGATCGTGGGTTCAGATCCCACTCAGGGCATGGATGTTTATGTGCGTTTTTCTGCAGGTAGAGGCCTTGCAACGAGCTGATCACTCACCCAAGGAGTCCTACTAAATGTGTAAGATCTAGTAAACCGAAGTGAAACAGAGAGTTTCATGGAGGTAGGCCTAGGCCCAATTTGGGGCTGTAGCGCCAGAGAAAAAAAAAATAGCATAATTAGAATCAGTGTAATAATTGTATTAGTTTTGATTTCTGTCCAGTAAACATTTATACATGAAATAATGTGAATTGGCACTATATTAATAAACAGAAGAATGATAATCCTGTTTTCAAAGTGAAAAGGCATAGATATTTCAGGCACTGTAAAAAAAGAAGTGTCTTTGTACCTTGAAATCCTCATGGTTGCCATCTTGTCGACATCATTTTCAGCTCATGTTCCTTTATAAGATTTCATATATTTAGTTTTGTCTTGTGTTCTGTGTTCTCTATCCCTCACATGAGAACACTGTCTTCAGATATGTCTAATGTTTTGTTAGGTAAAGAAAGGACCAAGAACAGTAAGGGCCTTTGAGAACTTTATGCCACTGATCCACTAATGGTCATGTCACATCACTGCAGCTTGGTTACCTGCCCATATAGTAACAGAAGGAAAGATGCAGAGGTCCTCTAAGCAGCCATATTGGTTGCTTTGTTGCAGGAGGAGGAGCAGAGGTTAGAGGAAGAACGTTTGCGTCAGGAAGAAGAGGACCAGCGTAGATTTGAAGAGGAACAGCTGAGACTAGTGGAGGAAGCTCGCCAGGCAGAAGAGGAACGATTGCTTCAGGCCATTCAGGTAACCACATCATTTCATTTTCTTGTTTCAAGATATTTGTGATCTTTATTTCTTGTACTTTTTATTGTGACTTGTAACTCTTAAACACAGTGTGTATGTGCAGTATGTTTCTGATTTTATAAAGCTTGTTTTAATGCCTATATCAGTTGCACAAACTTTAGTAGTAGAGAAACTGAAATTTGTGTATTGTGTATTGATATTAAGTAAATATATAAATGTTTACCAGAAAGTAAGATGTCTCAGGTTTAGGTACTTACAGTTGTATGAAGATTAACACAAGTTCATTACTTGATGATAGGAAAATGAAAGACGAGAAGAAGATGAAAGAAAAAGAAGAGAAGAGGAGGCTAAGGCTAAAGCAGAAAAAGAAGAAGCAGAGAGGAAAGCTCGAGAAGAAGCAGAAAGGTATCAACAAAATTTAAAAATAAATTTCCCTCTTATATTGAGATATATGAAACAGTAAGGGAAATCTGCATCTCATATTGTGTGTGATGTATGCTGTCATGTATTCAGGGCAACAACAACAACAGCAGCATACTTTACTATACTGGAACAACCCTGAAGTCCCTATCAATTATAATGAAAAATGTTTAATTTTTTCTTCTACACTTTTTAAATAATGCAAGTAATGTGATTTTGACATAACTTTTAATGACATGAATTTTGTTCCATTGATTTGTCCACATCTGGGGCACCTAGTCACATAGTAATACTATTGCAAGTATCCACCAGCTTATCTTGATTTGCTCATTAACCTTAATTTCCTTTTTTTACTGAATGCTAAAATAAAACGTTCGGTTTTGGAAACTGCTAAAACAAATGGCCTTAAAATTAAGTGAAATATATTGTTCTTACTTTTTGTAACAAAATAAGTCTCAAGATTTTGATGGAGTTACACATTTTCACCCCCACCCCCAAATACAAAACAGTGGTTTTTGGAATGCCATCTATTTATATACATACAAGGGATGTTCAGTAAGGTTTCCTAGCCTGTAATGTTTGTGCTAGTCAAGCATTTTGTATGTGGTAGCATTTAGTAGCGGCAGGGGTAGGGGTAACATGCAAGAAATGGCAACACTTCGGAGGTCACTGATTGCACAATAACGAAGGAGTGGGAATGGTGAATGGTTGCTTATGTGAGGTGCCAATGTGTATGATGACAGAATTGCTAAGCTGATACTAAGATGGAACAGATGCATCAGTGTGGTCAGGTATTATGTTGAAAAATCACAATACCTCAGTGGAATGAGCTACATTAACATTGCATTGACTTCATTACATTTATATGACTGAGGGAACCTTACTTGTTCAGCAGCCATCATATTTACGAGGGGCGTTCAAGTTCTAAGGTCTCCGATTTTTTTTCTCAGGACTGGGAGCAGATAGACACATGCGGTTTTGTTTAAAATACGTGTGCACTCTTTGTGAATGCATGACAGAGATGGCAGAACTCTACGGCACACAGAACTCTAGCGGTAGCAGCGAGTGTGAGGAGTGTTTTTGATACTTAAAATGGCGACGTTTTCGTTACAAGAACAGCGAGTAATCATTCGTTTTCTCCACTTGCGTGGTGCGACACCCATTGAAATTCATCACCAGTTGAGTGAGACATGTGGTGATGGTGTCATGAATGTGAAAAATGTGTGTTTGTGGGCGCGACAGTTCAAAGAAGGCCGAACGTCATGTGACAACAAACCAAAACAATCTCAGCCTCACACCAGCCGGTCTGACAACATGGTCGAGCGAGTTGAGAAAATTGTTTTGGAGGATCGCCGATTGAGTGTGGAAAACATCGCCCCCAAAGTTGGCATTTCCATGGGATCTGTGCACAAAATCCTGCATGAAGACCTGCGAATGCGGAAAGTGTCCTCCAGGTGGGTTCCACGAATTTTGGTGGATGACCACAAGGCTGCATGCATGGCAATGATGAAGGCATGAATGGGACTTTCTTTTCATCAACTGTGACAATGGATGAGACATGGATGCCGTTTTTCAATCCGCTATTGCATCAGCAATTTTCCAGTGGTCAAAACAGACTCCTACAGAAGCGTTCGCAGCGGCCATGGAATCATGGCGTCGACGTTGTGAAAAATGTGTACGGCTGCAGGGAGATTACGTTGAAAAGTGACAGAAGTTTCAAATTTTTTGTATGATTATTGTGTGAGGAAAAAAATCGGAGACCTTAGAACTTGAACGCACAACGTATATGCATATATATGTATATCCTGCACTAGTTCATGAACAGTTGGGCAGGTTCATAAGATTTTTAAGAGTTTACCCTTCACAGGTTTGTGCCCAGTGAATGTGATCATTCCAGCACCAAAAACAGGTGCCTTTCAGGTGGACCCCTAAGGAACAAAATAAGGGATTTAGTAGAAAATGCTTTTTTCTTTCTTGCTTTCTTTTTCTTTTTGTCTTCATCTCTGTACTTTCAGTTCGCATAATTCATTCTTGCATCTTGCAGCCATCTCAGATTGGGCCATCCCTCTTTGTTTCTCCTCCAGGAATAAATTGAATACATCCCAAGGGGAAAGATATAATCGTCATCTGTATAAACTTTACTTTGTCATTTCCTCAAGGTGGCACTCTGCTACTAGCCAGAAGGTCACGGGTTCAGGATTTTGCGGTTGACCTAATTCTTGCAGCCGTACTGTGGCCTTGAGGTCGACTCAGCCTCTAATGGAAACGAGTACCAGGAATCTCCCTGGGTGGTGAGACAGTCAGTGCATAACACTGACAGTCTCACCACCATCTGCGCGTTAATTGTCTAAAAAAATGTGGGAGCATCAGCAGCCCACAACCCTGGGGCTCCATGGCCTGTTTCAGGGACAGCTTTACCTTCCCTCCCTCATCCTCATCCTGAAATTATGCTTCCAGTATCCATTGTTAGATTCCTTAATGTGCCTTGTTTTTTGATCCAAAGTTGTTTGATATAGCCACCAAGCTGGAGGACCAGGCGCAGCTTTTAATCAGGTCCTTTTTGTTGTTGTTGTTGTTATTGTTGTTATTATTGGAGAGGGTGGGTTTCCCCATGCACTTAGACTAGCTGTTGGTCCATTGTGCAGCCCCCTGTGATATTCTACCAGTCTCTATACCCTACCGGTACTGGTGCGTGCCATCAGTCCCGACTCAGCCAGCGAGTTTGGCCTCTACTGGCTGAGCATTATCTCGATGCTTCCCCCATCTATCAGAGGCGTTAGAGACTACTGCTGGGTGGGAAATATCCTGAATTTGGCTCAGAGGTCCCCTTGAGACATGAGGTTCTTTTACGTGCCGTAAAGCTACGACATGGGACCCACCACTTAAAGTCCCTCCCGGAGGACTTGTTCCCTGAATTTTTCTGCCCTTAAAAATTCCACGACCTCCGCCAAGTTTGAACCCGCGTACCTTGAGTCATGAGGTGGGAATGTTACCCCTAGACTACGGAGGCCGCTTGCATCAGGTCCTTACAGTTCAACCTCTTGAGGAAGGCTGACACAACCAGGTACTTTCACCCTCACTAGCATGGCTGTTCATGTTATCAAGGCACAGAAACCTCTACACCACATTAAAGTGGTAGCCCATGGGAGGTGCAGATGAAGCTGGTTGAGTCTTGGCCATAACATCACTGTTTAATGTCACTGTCATAAGAGACTGCTGTGTGACCAAAGGAATGCATCTTTTAAAAACTCTGATGGACACTTCAGTATCTTGACCAGTTACAGAAAATAGAGTTTGCATTTTAGAAAATGTTTTTAGGAATATTTCTATATCAGTGATCATTGCTATGACTTTGCTTATTTTAAGGTTGCGCAAAGAAATGGATGAACGACTGAAAAAAGAAGAAGAGGAACGCATTGCTCGACGCAAGCGAGTTGAAGCAATCATGCTACGCACACGAGGCAAGGGTTCTACTCCATCCAGCACACCCACCAAGGTACAGCTCAGTATTCAGTGTATAATTGAAGTGGTGTTGCGCTACTGAATGTCACATTCTGATGCTTCAGACTGTTGAAACAGCCGTCTGTCATCTGAAGCACAGAGCAGGTTGGCTTAAGCAGGAACTGACTATGCCAACTGAGAGTTTTGTGAGGTTTTACTCAGCTCCTGATGGCAGATGCTAAAACAGAACCATAACTAAGGCCATGACTGTTCTCTTCCATATTCATTCAATTTCATTATTCGTTTGTCATGCAGTCACTGGGCACTTACTCTATAGGCCAAGTTACAGCATCATCATTAAATTACAGTCTATCCCAGAATCATTATGGTTTGCATCCTGTTGTGTGTTTAATAATCATGTAAATTATATTGTGAACACAACATAACGACATACTGGATACAATTGTAATATGGTCTAATTTACATGACTACACCTTCAGAATATTTTCCCTTACATACTCAAGCCTGTGTTACTGGTAACTCTCTTGTACTGTGGTTTTCTCATAATGACCTGAAATTCACTGTATAATTTCATGCATTCGAACAGGGTGAAGGGGATTCTGATGAAGGGAAGGATGGGAGTCCATTAGAAGAGATGAAACCCCATCCGGGGGAGGTGGCTGCAGCGATGGAACTGCCGGACTCCAAGCTGTACCAGTCTAGTGATGACATCACCACAGGCAATGGCCAGCAGAGTCTTCTAGTGGACAGTTTCAATTCCAACATCATGGATCATATCCAGGAAAATGGAGGCAGTGAAAAGAGGCTGTCATCTAGTTTGAATAGTGATTTCTTATTAATAGACACCATGAGACCAATGGAAACTAGTGAGGACTTAATAACTAGTGGATCCAGTGTGCTACCCCCTTCTGCCCAGAGCAACGGTCATCGGAATGTAGTGGAATATGACGCAGTAGACTTTGTCAGTGTAGATAATGTGTAAGTATTGATCCATAGTTAGTAGCTTGTAAGTAATGTAGAGCGTACTTCTGGTTGTGCATAACACGGGCGAGGGGACACAGCGTGCAATGCACAGAGCTTCTGTCCGTAAGGAAATGGATATTGTGATAATGTGTGTTGAACATTGTCCTGCGCTCCGAACAGCAAGAAGTTTGTCGGGGTTCATTGACTGATATCATGATGAGTATAGTAGTGTATGAAAATAAATACATTTCAGGACAGGGTCCTACTTTGAAGCCATAATTACAAGTGTATCATGCAAAAGTAGTCAGTATGTAATTAATGCTTTCTCACTGCTTTACTTCTGACACACAGCTTGTTAATATGCTACATTCTTATTTCACTGTATTAAGAGTGGTTAACAACTTGAATGTATGTACAGTATCAGACCCATTATCCACCAGGCTTAGGGCCAGATGCGTGTCGTATTTGGAGAACAGGGATAGCTCAGTCAGTATAGCAATAAGGCTGCAGCTTAGACAGCCAGGGAGTTACAGTCAATTTCTTGGCAGAGGCAAGAGATTTTTCTCTTCTCCATAACGTTTAGACCCACTCTGGGGCTCATTCCGAGATGGGGTTCTGGGAATTTTGTCCCTGGACAGAAAGTGGGCAGGACATAAAGCTGACCACTCACCTCCATCTAATGCCAAGGTCAGGAATGACGGAGCTATACCTCCACTCCCCCACACATTATAGCAGCCATGGGATGACTGCCTTTGAGATTTTCACTGCAGCTGTATATGATGAAGTCTTCCAGGGCAGTCAGTCATATGAAGATGTAGTTAATATCTACCATTACCCCCAACAACTTCAACATGGATAAGAGGTTCACTGTATGATACTCAGCCATTAACATGCTTGAATAAGGGAGGACCATCAAAAGACATCATGACAAAGGACAATGACAGTGTCTGGGATGACCAGCATGGATTGTGTCATCTGACTGGCTGTCCACACTGGGACATGACGCTGTAGGCCAAGTGACCTCACCACTGGGGCACACGAGAGCACACTCTGTGGGCAGTGTCACTTGTCACACCCATCGCCAGCGATGGAGACAGAGGTAGTTTCTCAAATGGTGGATACTTACTCCATCCTTACATGATGGATCAGCCAAGATGACTCCATTGTTTATACATGTTCGTTCCGAGACTGAGTCTGTAGAAATTACAAAATTTGATTTATTGACTAATTGCTCCTGTCCCCTTCAAAGTAGTTCCCTATGCAGTCCATACACTGTTGCCAGTATTTCAGCAAGTCCCAGAAGCAGCTAGTGAATGCCTCTTTCGGAATGGCTATAATCTCCATTGTTTGTGGCCACTTGAACAGCCTTGATATTCTCATGTCACCGTCCTTTTAGCATTTTTTTCAATCGTGGAAACAGAACAAATTGCACAGAGATAGGTCAGGGGAGTAAGGAGGTTGTCAAAACGCAGTAACATGTTTAATAAGAAGTCCGTTGACACTTAGAGCTGTGTGTGGCCTCACATTGTCATGCAACAAGTGTCCATATGTCCACAGGTCAAGATGACAATGCCATAGTGCCTCGCGCATACGCCTGAACACGGAAATGTAAAATTCTTGGTTGACTGTTTGCCCTTGCAGAAAAAATGCATGATGAACAATACCCCTGGCATTGAGAAAAAAAAACAATTATCATAGTCTTTGTTTTCGAAGGCCATCATCCTTGCTTCATCATAACCCATAGAACTGATGATGGCTTTCAGAATTGCTGGGTTTTTGGACTTTTTCCACTGTCCGGTATTCTGGAAACTAGAAAACAGCATTTTGGAAACTGGATCTATTTCCATCCTCAGGTGATGTGAAGAAACCTACTCCTTTGGGTCACTTAGAAAGAGCTTGAGGTTAGATCTTTCTAAGGGACCCAACTGATTAGGTGTCTTCGCCCCCCTTTCAACTGATGACAGAAACAGATCCAGTTTCCGAAACATTGTTTTCTACGTTATAGAATACTGGACAACAGAAAAAGTCCAGAAACCCAGTAATTCTGAGTGTTATACACCGTCATCAGAACCCTTTAGAATCTGCTTGATGATGGCTGGTTAGGCCAGAACATGTAGTGACAGTAAGGAGAAAACGACGAGAGAATATTAACCGACATTACACACAGACTGCAAAAAAGTGGAACACAAAGTCAGATGTACACGTTGCAATTTAAGGGACGTAATAATGGCCACAGAGCAGATCCAGTTGAACGCACAGGACTTCGCTTCCATACAGGGTATAACCGAGGTAAGATGTACCTCTCAGGATGTATCAGGGAGAGTCTTGGTGTCATTCTCTATTTGCTGCAGTACGACTGTGCAACGTCACGCTATCAAGTTTTACATAATTTTCAGAACACCATCACTGAAAAGAGACATAAACAAAGAGAAGTGCTTGAACTGCATGCAGTTGGCGCCTCAAAACAAAGTCAGTTTCAGATTACTACCTTATGTTCCAGCTTTTTCATTTCCTGCTGGATGATGGGTCCAGATCTGTAATTTTAAAGAGCGTGCATGATATCATTGATTGGTTTCTTTTTAAATTAATTTTGTGTAAGCATTTAAATTAACTTGTCATATTCTGACATTGTGCATGCAGATTTATACATTTCAGAAATGTTACATGTACAGAACAGTTCCTCGTGTTAAAGAATCGTTCTGTACAGTTCTGTATGGCAAATATGCAAGATTAATATGGGACACTGATGTTTCTCCTGGATTGCACCTTCTTCCTAAACCTAACAGCAGCAGCAGCAGAGAAATGAAGGTTGTTGTTTACTGGGATGTGATACCATGTAGTCTTGCAGTAAGATACCAGCGTTTCAGAGGAGCTTGTAGCTTACATCTTCAGGAATGATGGAGGCAGCAGGTTCTTCCAAAATGTTTTTACCTTTCTTGTCAGATTAAACAGAATCGTGTTCCAGAAGACAGTGGTCCTCATGTTCACTGCAGTGAGGACCTCAACTCTCACAGAGCAATCCCTGTTCATACTTCAGTGTCTGTTTTTTTTTCTGTGCAAGTTCCTCATGAAAATTGTTGAAGTGAAAGTCTTGTATTGTAACTCAAACTACATTAAATAAAGACAAGAGGAAAAGATTACATCTAACTGATTGTTGTTTGACATGTGTAAGATACTGCACATCTGTTATATACATAAAATAATATTCATATTGATCGCCGTCATGTTTAAAGGAGGGTGAAGCTTCAGGACTTAATGTGATATGTAAGTGAAGCACATTTTGTGAAATATACTTCGTCTGCATGTCTCTCCTTTAGCGTAGTTCTAGGTGTGGTCTGGAAGTATCCAGATCTGATAGAAGCATGGTCTCAGCTCTTGGACTTACTGAAATACGTGCATGTTTGATAATGAACTGTATCTGTTAGAAAATTCTGTAACCGATTTGTAATATTGTATCAATATGTAAGTTAAGTTACTGTCTGAAATATTTTTGAGCAGTTTATTCCTGAAGATTTTGAATTATTTTATTCCATAAATACTTATTTTCCCAAGAGAAGTATAACTTTGCCTTGTTACTACTGCCTACTTTTGCTGCATACTGCATAATTACGTTAGTTTTTTAATATAATACTATTATAAATATGCCTTTGGCTTTAGTGACCTAATGTAAGAAATTAATACAGTTAAAAGAAGAGTTCCATCTTCTGGGGACTATGTAGTCCAGTAGAAGTTCATTGACATTTTGGAGGAAGATGATGCTGCCTTCTTCAGGGTGAAAGAATGAGCCAAGCAGTCAGCAGTACATGCCAGTTGCTGCTTGTTCATTATATACTTGGCTCACTCTTCAACCCTGAAGATGGAGGCTTTATTTTATACCAGAATAATGAACTACCAGACTACATGGTATCACACCCCAGAAGATGGTAATTGTCATAGTTACTGCTGTGTGAAATTCAGATAAATTATAGAATTTAGTTTCCCAAATATTTGGCCTAGTAGACTGTTATTTTCACTAGTCATTTGTATTAACCATAGAAAATATCTTGTGCGCATGATAGTCGAACAGAACACGTTTCAGTTAATTTGTCTGAAAGGTAAACAACAGGCTGCCAGTTTAACCAGAATAAATATTTACTGTACTTGTAAACCATGACTTATAATTTTCTTAAATATCATGTTAATACATTTTAAACTTACACAGCCTGGGAGGAGGCCAAGTTCTGCCTTCATATCAGCCTGCCACTGTTGATTTTCAGTTTCTTTCAGTCACCTACTATTAAAAGAGTTACTGCTTTCATGCTGTAGATGAATGATATTCAGAAATCCAGAAAAAGATATATAGTTACTAACATATGGTTTGTGTTTGAGAATGATGTTTCATGGTTTTTAGGTTTCAAATTCATATACTTGTTCATTTCATGGTACAAACAATCAAACTGGTCCAAATTCACGCACCCATTCTGTCTTCTCACCTCAGCATGCAGTTGGTTTATGCTGTAGAATCTGTTTTGATATTCATATATTATCACTACTGTTGCTTATGCTGGTGCTACTCTTGCTGTATTTGTGTAAACTACAAGAACATAAACTTCTTTGTCTTCCTAAAGGAAATCTCTCCTATAAAATAGAAAGTTATAGTGCATGGATTTGTAGTTGAGTACTGATGTCTCACGAAGTCACAGTGTGTAAGGGAATTCAGAAGATGCTTTTAAAAAGATTTTACTTGCATAATCACAGATTGTCATATTATTCTTTCCCGATTATCAGTATCTGCAGTCTCGGTTCTTTATTGTCCAACTTTTGGACTAGTTTGTTTCCTTATATAATAGTGGCAGAATGTCCATTGAAAAATCAACAGGAAAATTCTACAACTCCCATCGCTTATGGTTTCTGCATATCCTCATCAGCAGCAGCAGCAGTCTAGTTGCCTTTGCTTTGAAATGATAGATGGTGCAGTACTGAAAACATTGTAATATCTACTAAAATAATGCCATTGCTACCATGTTCTTGTCCTGTTGTAATAACAGATTAGTTTTGCATTTTGTTTCAGTGCAAAAATAAAACTGACAAACACTGCCATGCTTAAAAGAATTATATGTAGATAAGCAGGAAAGTAACAGTTACTTCAGTGCCTATTGCCTGTGCGATCATCATTATTTTAATGTTACACAGAAAGAGAGGGCTGTTTCATTTGATAAATGCTTGCTTCAGAAATGGAAACACAGAAGCTTTTTACTTCAGCACCATCAGTCTTGTCATTAGAATTCACTGTTGGAAATCTGAATTTTAAGAGTGCAAACTTTTGGGACATAATGTCCTGTAGTTTGGTACATGGTTCCTGTTGAACCTGCTGTCTTAATTCTGCCCTCAAGATGGGGGCAATGTTGAATCTACAGCCAGAAGGGCACATGTGAGTGTAAAAAGTAAACTAACATAGAAACAGACAAATTATACAGATAATAAGTAATAACAATGTCCTTTACATATTGCAGAGAAAGCAGCATCACACTTACATCCAAAGACTGCACAATAACACGAATATACCCATGCCACAGGAGAAGTTGTGCAAACAAGCCATTTGGACAACTGGACAATACCCACAATACAAATTAGATTTGACTGGTTTTAACTGGGGCACGCGGTAGCATAGTGGTTGCAGTGCTACGCTACAAGCCGGAAGGTCGCGGATTCAAATCCCAATGAGGTCATTGGATTTTTTTCAGTTGACCTAATCCTTCCAGCCGCACTAGGCCCCGGGGTTTACTCAGCCTCTAACAGAAATGAGTGACAGGAATTAATTAAATAATTTTCCTGGGGAGTAAAGTGCGACTGGCACGTAAGGCTGACAACCTTACTGCCATCTTTGAGCCGATTGTCTAGATAATGTGGGATCCTCAACGTCTCACAACCATATGGGTCTTCACGGCCTGGTACAGGGATAGCTTTACTTTTTTTTTACTTTTACTGGTTTTAACTAAAATTAAGGCAATCACAGTGGCTGCGCAGTCTAAGGCATGAACTGTCTTCACTTGCTTTGACGCTGGGATCGTGGATTCAAATCCCACTCAAGGCGTGGATGTCTATGTGCGTTTAATCAGTATTTGTATTGTTCTCTGTGAAGGTAGTGGCCTTGCAACAGGCTGATCCCCATCCAAGGAGTCCTACAACTGCATATAAGGTTAAGAAACTGAAAAATGATCATGGCCCAAAGGCTGGTAGAACCATAAAGAGACACAGAGAGAGAACTCAGATTGATCAGGGTTGACCTATTTTAATTTTTAATTTAATAATTGAATATTGTATCACAAGTGATATAATATTTTGACATACTGTATGGTGCAGCAGTTTTAGCATAGTGATAGACACCTTTTGATGGCCAGAACATGTTATGAACAAAGAAGAAAGTGACTATAGCAAGTTGCATTAGTGACATATATACTGTATGAAATAAATGTTAAAATATTTAACTGTGAAAACAGATTCATTGCTTCCACAGTGTCAGTGTTTTGGTTTGTATAAATTTGACTTTCTTATGATGAGTCTGAAGAAAACATGCATATACATGTAATCACAGCACATCAGGACATTTGTAGTTTTACTGTGTTCAACTTCATTAGGAGAGGCAGAGCTTTAAAGAAATCCCTACAAATGAAATAGATTTTTAAGCAATGAATCCATAACACATAGATGAAGCTACCTGTCACAGTATACGCACACTGACTGCTTATGCTTTCGTACTCTGGAAGATGATGCTGAAAAATCCTCCCACTTACAAAAGAATATTTGTTCTTTTGTAGAGATATCATTGATATTCATTTTAATACTGTAGCATGTAGACCCACTGCTAAGCAGTGACTCTGTAAACAGCGGTCATTGCTAGGTAATGCCGATAGCATACACACACGCAACAATAGAAGAGCTATGTTTTCTGTGCCATCCATCTTGAGGGGTTATAAGCAGAACAACGTATAGTGCATAGTTCATTTCTGAGATATTCGCCAGATGGTAAGGACATAAGCAGTGGACATTGTCAAAATCCGTTACCAGGAAACGACTAGTGAAGACGTAGAAGACTGTGTGGTGCGCTGAGTGTAAACCAGTGAGGCTGTTATACTTGTAGTTATGGGTTTTGTGTATAAGTGGTTAATAATTCAAGTCACCAATACTAACCCTGTCTATAGTCAGTTTCATCACATGACAATACTATACAGCTTATATTGTGTGTGTATCTAAAACATATCCAGTATATGGTCAGAATATCTGGGATAATCCTACAGCCAGTAGTTGGTCATATCAGTTTTCAGCCAGTAACTGTATTCTTTTTACATTCCAGTTGCCAGCCAGCAGAAGATGTTGTGTTAGGGTTGCCAGTGGACTCCCTTTTGTGACCTCTGCCCTATGGACCTGAGTGACCATCATCCTTATAACCTGCCTCCTTATCCTTCTCCGGTCCCTAAGATGCAAGTAGCAAGCTCCTCTGAAACATAAATATCTGCACAATGTTACTAAAACCCAGAAAAATTGATTTGACTCACACTCTGTAGTTTGAGGGGTTCAGACTGTTCCTCATAAAGTGATTTTTTGTTACTTTAATCTTGAATTTTCATGTGATATTCCATTATTTTGTGTAGAAACATTTATGACATTCATCAAGCCATTTTATTGGCAGTGGTACATCATAGTACATTATACCAGTACCTTTCTTTGTAAAACACAATTATATTGTTGACTTCAGTATTTTAAATGTATTTTTTACAGAAACTTTAAAAAATATATATTGCCTCCCCACTTTTTCAAGATTGAGAACTGGAAACTTTATTTTTAAGACAAGTAATGAAATGTACACATAGTGGAACAGTTCTGGCCTGGTGGCTCACTTTTGTTCACCTATCACAGAAACTGTAAGACTTGCAGATAGACTGTATTGGACAGAAAACATGTGTGTCATTTTTCTGTGCAGTGCAGTTCAGTTCCAGCATTTTTCACTGTGAAAATATTTAGCAATTTACACATGAGTTAAGTGTGAGATGCATGCAGAAACATGACTGTTATTTTGTGTGATTTTAACCATAACTGGAGTTGCCAGATACATACTAGTTGCAGTCCATAATGTTAAATTTGATTAAAATCCCTGCACAAGTTCTGAAGTTATTTCATGCAATGGATGGATGGAGCAAGTTTAATAGATGCCTGGCATGGGTGTGATTGTGCTTTAAAAGGCATTGATATTTGTTATCAATGCAGCATTTAAATATGTTCTGCCCTTTCTAAAGTGTACAGTTCAAAGCATTTTGTCACAGTTTTCTTTCTCTCTTTCAGGAAACAAAATAACGCAACCAACAACTTACTAGACTTTTCAGAATTTGACGCATTCAGCACAAATAATGCCATGCTGAGTGCGACACACCAACCGACGGCAGCTACAGAATTTGAGCAGATTTTGGATCTGAGCTCAGTTCCAACTACAGGAAAAATTTCAAATGAAGATAACGTCAACTCAAATATAATGAATAATGGACCTGCCCCACCCTTCATTGCATTTCAGGAGAATCTGGCCAAGAAAACAGATAGTAATTCAGTTACTGGTAAGCTTCACCTTTTGGGTACTGAGAGTAGGAAGCATGGTGCATATGGTGTGACTATCGACATGTGCCTCTCAGGGTAAAACCATACAAAGTTAGCCAAGGTTTATATGTAATTTCCTTTTTTCTGGATGCTTGATGTTCTGTCATAGAACTCTTCACTTCTCATGAGTAAAATTGAGATCTAAAACAATGAAATTCATAATGCAGGCATGAAATTTATAATGTAATGGTTAGGCCCCTGTGAGGTATTCAGTGAAGAGGCTGAGACAGTCATAAATGTAACTGGGTATCATCATTGGTATATTTCCAGACAAATAAGGAAATTATAATTTTCATCTTGGGGAATGTTTCAAATGTTACAAGGTCACATTTAATATCATATCAGTATCGTGTACTGGGTATCTTTGTCCCTGTGAGGTATGCTTGTTATACGGTGATGTACATGTGTGACAGAGTTAATGATTTTATTATAAGTACAGAACTAAATTAACAGAGTAATTTAATTAATTCATTTTCTCACATGGTGTACATAAAAATGAAGATTAATTTTCTTCTGGACTGTGATTCCAGAACTCCATTTTAGAAGAACCTGATTTCTCCATCTTCAGGATAAAGCCTGAAAATAGTTGCAGCAGGTTACTCTTGCTACCTCTGTAGCACACTGCACATTGTCATATCACAGAAGACAGTGCTCTTCATATTCACTTCACAGATGACAGAACCTTACACTGATTGGTCTTTGTTTCCTCAGCCTGTATTGTCACAGAGACACTAACTAGATTGTACCTACACCTTGATAACTGAACATCCTGAATTTGAAACTGTAATAAATTATGATAACTGTGATGGTATTCGGTAAATGTATAGACATTCCTCAGTGCTGGACAGCTAGGTTTCAATTCCCAGCAGAGGCAAGAGAGAGATCTCTATTCCACAGTGTCTGGGGCTTCGCTGTGCTGGGGCATGAAGCTGATGAAGATAAGTTAATTGCTCACTGTGACTGTTCCTGTCATGTAACTAACTGTTTTCTTCACTTGTTTCAGATCTGCTGTCATAACATGCTCTTCTGTTAATATGTAGAGAAGACTGTAATAAGAAAACATTGAGGGCTGACTGGAAGTGCACATATATTGTACATAATAGACCACATTTTGCTGAACGGGAAGACTGAACTGATAGAGGAAGGAACCAGAGGGATTAGCATTACAAACTTCACTGATTTCAGACTTTCATGGTGATTAGCTGCTGATGCTAATTCAGTTCTTGGGTGACCGCTCCAGAACATCGGTTGCCAGTGGTTCTTTAGTACAGTTTGTGACCCTTAAATGGGCTGTTTCTTTCCTTGCACAACTTTACAAGTCCATTGTTCCTATTGGTCCAGATGGGACTTCAACCCCCCCACCTCAACACAGAAACTTTCCCATGCTATACTCTTACAGCCCTGAAGACCAAAGGTGCATGTCCCTTTAAAACATTGCTCACAGTGACGTGGTGTAAAAATCCAAGAACTGAATTATTGTCATCATCATCAAGAATCCAAGACCCTTCTTCATTAACCCTTGGACTGATATCTCGGTATTCCATAAGTGGTCCATTCACTCATATATCATTTGAGATTGATACAGTAGGCACATTTGCAGCCTGTGTAGGAAGGAACTCAGTGTTACCTCAACCAGAAGAATAGACAGAAAGGTACGGATTAACTCGGAAGTCAGAAGGTTGCAGCGTAACGTTACAGCTCCTTGGAAGAACATTTTTGTCTCATTGTAATTTCACATACATCTGTATCCCTGTGTTTCCTCCAGTTGTGTATGCATTTGTGATTATAGATGTGCACTAAATTTATTTCTAATTGGTCCTGTTGTCTCATATACTAGAACTAGAATATATATAAACATACACTGGGTTCCCACTGTGGATATAAGCTAAATCCTCTTGCTATATATTGTTTTCTGTGTATCGTAGTTACACTTGTCATCAAAATGCTGATGAGTTACTGAAGTCGTAAAGGTTAAACTCATGTACATTTGTGACTCTTCTAGTTCTTGCATTTGTAAGTTCAAGCTCATTAATATGGGTGATTGAAGCTCCAGTATATTTTGCTAGTTTGTTTCAGACATGACAGTAACTACAAACCTTCCAAAATGTGAGCCCATTCCCTAGTCAATTGATGAAGCAGTTATTGACATGTATGATACTGTCAGTGTGTTGATATGTCAAGTAAATTGAGCATGTTGTGGATAGGCAGAAGAATGCTCTGATTGCAGTGATCGGAGTTTATGGTAAAAACTTATTTATTAAAACTGCTTTACTGAGTGACAGGTATCACGAAAGGAGTGCTCAAAGTATAATCATAACAGGGCTCTCACATTTACTATACATGTATATAGTTAAGTGAGAAACTGGTTTAACTATTCTGCTACATTAATAATTATTTTAACCTTCATGCACCACAACAGAGTTACTTCAATATTCTATTTGTCTGTCTCTTTTACATTGGCCTAAATTCATCTGTAGTAAGTCAGTACAGTAGATGGTTGATGTCACTTTAGAAGACCTGATGGTTAGCACAGTAACGTTTGCATTACAGGTGCCTCTTTTAACATGATATAATAATCTGTGAGAAATATTGTTGCAGCTTCAACATGAATGCAGAATGTTTTATCAGAAATATAATATGAACAAAAAGAAATTAAAGCTTTTAATGAGGTAGGATCTTTCAGTGTTGGCTTCAAGCCTTTCTTGTCCCCTGTTTGATGCCTCCCACCCACTAATTTCGTGAATTTAGAGTCACTGTAAGATTGCGTGCTTATATTATATCCTCCTTTTTTATCTGAATTTTATTACTTATCTTTTAGTACATTATAGGAACAACAGATGACAGGAGTTTCATATTTACACATAGGAAGAGGTCTTATATTAATTTGTAGCTGTTAGGAGTGAAGTTGGAAATAAAAACGGTGGGAAATGGTTACAAATGTTTCAAACTCATTTTCATACTTCTTATTGTAAAATAGGCCCTGTATGTAAACTTATTGTGTGTTTTAATAACTTGAACATAAATGAAAAGAAGTATTGTATTCAGTTTTGTCAGTTGAAGATTAATTTTAACCTGATTTTGTCCCACGTGAACATTTTGAAGAACAATGCAGAGTTATTTTGTTTGTTGTGCAGTTCAAAATAAAGGATCATAATAACTGGGTGCTTTTCATTACACTTGTAACATATGGACAGTATACTGACAGAAGTGTGATTCCACTGACCCACCAGTGGAATTCTTTACTTTTTAGTATATTTCACCACTCACTAGTATCATGATTTTAGTTCAAAAATCAAAATACAAAAGAATTTGTGTGTCCTCTCCAGATATTTGAAATTGAGGCAGAGTGCACTATCTTTTATTGTACATGCTTGTATTAAAGTGCTTCAACGTTATCAAGAAACCTTACTGTATATCCTTTCACCTAACTATGTTTCAGATATAAAAGTTCTTTATAGTGCAGTTTCTTTTGTACTACACGGATTTTTTTCATATATGAAAAAATGTAAGTGTTATTTGGTTAAGTTCTTACATTTTTCAATCTAGAATTGTGCATACTTGCATTGCTGTTTCTTGCACAGAATATGCCCATGTTCATGTTTAATAACGTAATTAATTTAAAAAGTACCAACTTGTGGGATGTGATACTGCGTAGTCCAGAGTTCGCCAGAATGCCTGCAAAACATCGCTTAACTTTTACCACAGTACCTGACATCACATTCCAGAAAGTGGTGATCCTCTTAGGCACCACTGTGAGATCATCAAATCCTGCATAATTTGGAAGTGTTGTACAAGGTGTATCACATCTCAACAGCAAAACTTCAGGAACGGACTCATCATCTAGGGAGAAGAAGAAAAGTTTATGACAACATGGGTTCAGAAATGCATATAATTACAGAGTAGTAATTGTGTCTGCATGCCACAGAAAAGAATTGGCAGAGGAAAATTTATTACGAAGTAACCACAGGTGACATCATGATAATCACAGAGCTGTCCTCCCAGTGAAAGGCCGTCTCACTGATAGAAAGCACTCATGTAGCCAATTCTTTTCAGTGGCATGCAGACACAATTACTACATTGTAGTTATATGCATTGCCATATGGGTCTCTTATACTTTTTTCTTCTGTCTATATGAGGAGTCTGTTCCTGAAGTTTTGCTGTTGAGTTGTGATACACTCTGTATAATGTGACACCATGTAATTCAGTAGATAAGTACCAATGTATCAGATGAACCTGTTACCTTCATCTTCATGATAGAGAAGTGAGCTGAGAAGGGGCAAACTGTACATGATATAGGGAACAGAGGACTTGGGCCAGGGCTTAGAGTGTGTCAGTGGACGCCAGTAGTCTTACAGAGCTTATTGCTTCCCTGTATCATGTGTCCATGTTCAAATTCTGATTTGTCCAATTCAAGACAAATCTGACAGAATCTAAGGAAGACTCTGGCTTAAAAAGGCCTGTTTTGCTAATGATGTTGATGGCTCACTCTTTATCCTGAAGATGGAGACAGCAGATTCCTCTGAAATATTGGTACTCATTACCAGAGTACACAGTCACATCTTAGATGACTCAGAAGGCAAGCCATGAGAACCTATAATCTAACAGAAAACTTTGGTTTTGACTAAGAATTCTGCGTGCTTTTAATTTATGATTTAGTGAAACTCCATGTTTAGTGATTATTCGTTTTTGGTCACAACCAAAGCCCAACATAAGTATTGCATTGTGTTCCCATGTTTATTATGTTGCTTGTTTAAAAGAGCTATAAGCATTAAAACATTTTTTACACTGGAACCTGCTACTACAAGCCACTAATAAGACTACTAATAGATTTCATTAAAATGAATATTGCACTGTATGTATGATTATACATACATGTATATCATAGAGTATGTGTGAGAAACAGTCATTTGAACACCTCTGTTGTGTGCTTCATGTTAATTTCTTGCTTGGCTTGTTCTCCGAGCCAGAAGATGGAGGCGATATGTTCCTCTGAAATGTCGATTGACTTTCGCCAGGCTACACGGCTTTGTATCCCAGAATGCAGTATTCTTCCTTGCACATCAATAAGAATCTCAGATCCAGAAGTTCATTTGTTTTAAAAATTACACCTATATCCGGTGATTTGTGTTACGTCATTTATTATCTGGAAACTTCAAGGAAAAGGAGTTTATCGTAACTTAAATTTTGCACGGAAGATGGATTATGATGATGCTCCGTTATTCGATGTCCGTATGCCTGCCCATCCCGGATAGCACATGGGATTATGATGATGCTCCGTTATTCAATGTCCATTTGCCTGCATGACCTGAAAAAATCACGAAAGCCCTTCGGACTGTCGGTGCCGCAACAGAAATTCGGACATAGCGTCTCCCAGATGTAAACATAGAGCGTCACCCCTAGAGCGTGGGACGCGGTAGCGCAGTTGGTTGAGGCACTGCTACAAGCCGGAAGGTCACGGGTTCGAGTCTAGATGAGGTGGATTTTTTTCAATTGACCTAATCCTTTCAGCCGCGCTGTGGTCCTTGAGTCGGCTCAGCCTGTAACAGAAATGGGTACCAGGAATCTTCCTAGGGGTGTAAAGAGCTGCCGGCGCGTAAGGCTGACAACCCCACTGCCATTTGTGAGCCGATTGTCTAGAAAATGTGAGAGCCTCGACGTCTCACAACCCTACAGGCCTTCACGGCCTGTTACAGGGATAGCTCTATCTTTCACGCCGCTAGAGCAGCGCTAATACGGGTTCCGCGTTTCAAGATGGATCCTGTGTCCGTAGATAGAGACTAGCTCTATCGGTTGGGCCCAACTGAATAGGTTTTACCTGATGGTGTTTTAGATTAAAACAGGACGATGGATAATGCCCAGAAACTATATTTGTATTGTGAAAGATCGTTCTTGACGTCCTTGCAAAACGTTGGTAACAATCATATAGAGCAGTGGTTCTCAACCTTTGTCAGACCGCGGCCCGGTAAGACGAGGGCACGGTACCGGACCGCGACCCAGTGGATGAGAAACACTAATGTAAACGACACGGCGCTACATTCCAGAAGACAGTAATCACCAGGGCCCGGATTTTGATGACATGTCATCTTTTTTCCTTGTATCTGATGCGATGCTCTTAAATATATAAATCTCGGATATGAGCTGCTGGTTACAGAAATGTAAATTTTATAGGTAATTTTTTGACATTTTTAGGTATAAGGTCATTTTTTCATTTTTGAGGTAATTTTTTGGTAAATTTTGGACTTTTAAGGGTATTTCTTGTCATTTTTTTGGCCATTTTAGGGAATTTTTCTTCATATGTTTTCTGAAGTGTGAATAACATGGAAGCGAAGTGTTCTTTCTTTTCTCCTTTAGGTCATTTTTCTGGATTTTATAGATCATTTTTTTAATATTTTCAGGTCATCAAAAGCCGGGTCCTGCATATCACATTTCTGGGTCATATTTTAGGTCATTTTTCTGGATTTTATAGGTGTTCTTTAAGAATTTCAGGTCATAAAAATACGGGCCCTGGTAATCACAGATGTACATTGTTTCGAGTCTGACGGATCTGCTTGTTCAGTTAGCCGTCCCTGTACCTAATCTCAGATCATATGAAAGCAGTTAGGCGTCCCTGTACCTAACCTCAGATCATATGAAAGCAGTTAGCCGTGCCTGTACCTAACCTCAGATCATATGAAAGAGCTCAGCTTGGCCTTCCGATCGATCTTGTCACAGTTTGGCCTCCCCCTTTCTTTCCCCATACACGCGCAGATAAACCGACAGGCTTCCAGCCTATGTTGCCGAGTGCAATGCAGTCTTGTTTAGTTGTTAAAACATGTCTACAGTTGATGAGCTGTTTGCATATGCAGCTATCGCGTGTGTATTGCAAAAAGAAAAGAAAAAACGCGGACGCAAGTTATGGACCGAACAGTGGTTAGAAAGAAGAAATCATTTCACTCACATCGATTTGCTTCAAGAAATTAAATGTTTTCCAAAAGACTCGAGCAACTACCTACATATGGATGAAAGTACTTACCTGGAACTGTTAAGTATTGTTACGCCATACTTAAAAAAAAGAAGATACGAACATGAGAAAAGCGATCACACCCAATGAAAGATTGACACGTACGCTTCGCTATCTAGCTACTGGAAGAACCCTTGAAGGCCTGAAATTTTCTACTCGTATCTCTCCTCAAGCATTGGGAAGTGATTCCTGCGACCTGCAAAGCAATCTACAAAGTAGTGAGGAAGTATTGCAAGGTAAATAAGTGAAACAAGTTTGTTTGAACATTTTTACTTTTACTACATAGGATATGGGCCCTCACGGCCTGGTACAGGGATAGCTTTTTTTTTTTTTCTTTACTACATAGGATATGAAAAGTGAGGGTAACATTATAAATACAGGAAGATAAATAAATTGTCATGGTACGCACATTAGAAAAATCTCTCATGCCCAACAGTTACTATAGCCCAGGCAGGAGTTAAGGAAGTAGGGTAATATTGACTCGCCTCTCTAGTAGTGACCCGTGCAACCATCGCGGCTGGAACCCGAAGAGATATTTGACTGGGGGCCAAGAGTACAGTATGCTCCAGTACCGGTATTGATTGAAGAGTATCTAGAAAGCGATCCAAGCTCTGCTTCAAAAAGGGTGTCATTTATTAATTTCTCTGCATAAATCCTTTGTTCATTATTTCGTAATGCTCGTAATTTGGTAGCGACATATTGTGCAAAGATGTCAAATCTGTCCGCATTTTTCACTTGAGCCAGTCGATCACCCACTGCCACAAGTATCTGATCACTCGCAGGCAGATTCTTTTTGCGTTTGAATGAACAGCCGTAGGAAGAGATGGGACCAGTGCTGATGCTTAGTTCTGCATTTTGATTTGAAACAGAGGAGTGCGCTGAAATGCCTGGAGAGACTGAGTTTTGTGTAATTTCTTGTTCTGTTTCTTCTAAGTCCTGTAAACAACAAAACACAAAAAATATAGTTACACCCCAAGCATATTAATCTCCTTCTCTGTATGTCTCTCTCTCTCTTTCTCTCAGTGACTTCTGTCATCTGTTTACAGTGCCCTACATCGCAAGAGGAGTGGAAGAAAGTTGCTAAGGAGTTTGAAGATCGGTGGCAGTTTCCCAACTGCACAGGAGCCATGGATGGAAAACGTGTGGCTATCACGCCTG